GCCCTATTTTTTTATTCTTATGGAGCACTGTGTGCCAGGCATTAACTCATTTAATCTTCACAACAAGCCTATGCAAGAAGTACTGCCTGCCACTTTATAGACAAGCAAAATGAGGACAGAGAAGTTTGCCATGTACTCTTAGACCTGGTAAACGGCAAAGCCAAAGTTTGTTCCCAAATAGGTTTCACAGCTCTTTTTCTTTCAATTCCTCTTCTGATATTTAACCAAATAAAGATCACTCAGAGAGTATTCTAAGCCTAGAAAGAGAATTTGGAAGCAAAAGTGAAATAATTGGAGGAAAGGGATGTTGCCCATGAAGACAAAAGAAGCAGGTGAAGAGGAGGATGTTTCATGAGTTGCAGTCCTTGTGAGCCTGGGGATTAAGAGAGGAAGACGAAAGCCAAAAGAGTAATCCATTATTCAGAGTTTTAAAAGATACAGTAATTTTTTTAAAAACAGAAGTAGACAATTTCATTGGTTAAAAACAAAACTTAAAAACCTAAGCATCCAGCATCCTTCATCAGTTCTTTGTTTCCAGAAAGACAGAATTGAGGTTGTATTTTAAAATATTTTTGGTTATTAAAAAAAATTTTTCTCTTGCTGTCTTTTTTAAATCATTTAGTCAATTCAGAATTGGAAAACTAAAAAGCAGCAAAAAAAGGAGGAAATTTTCAAGTTAAAGGAAAAGGCAGACAACATACCCATGACTTTTCATAATAAACAAGAAAATAATCAAAAGCAAAAAGAGGAACAAAGAAAGAAACAGAAATTGGCAGTTGAAGCTTGGAAAAGACAGAAAAGAATAGAAATGTCAATGAAATATGCTTCCCAGTTAAAAGAAGAGGAAGAGAAAGAGAAGAAACAGCAGAAAGAGCGCCAACGCCAGTTTAAACTGAAATTATTACTAGAAAGTTATACGCAGCAGAAGAAGGAACAGGAAGAAATTTTGAGGCTTGAAAAAGAGATAAGGGAAAAGGCAGAAAAGGCAGAAAAAAGGAAAACTGCTGCTGATGAAATTTCCAGGTTTCAAGAAAGAGTGAGTAAATCTGTTTCCCAATTTTTAAATGCTAAACATGGAGATATTAACTTCCAGATTCAGTTCAGCAAAAATTGAATGCTTCCTATATATTGGACCTACACCTAGTATTAGTGTACCGAAATGGGTAATCCGTGCTCCCTAATTTCCAGTAGGTCTTAGTCTAGTGGAAAAGATACATGGAAGTAGGAGATTTCAGTATAACGTGGTAAATGCTGTGGTGATTGAGGTCCGGGCAGAGTACTTTAGGAGGTAGATATACAGGGAGGGATGCTTACCACGGCGGTGAGTGTCAGAGAGAACGAAATACTTGAGTCTTGAAGAAGAAGAAAGGGGAAGGAAAGGGGAGATCCTTCCTAGCAGAGGGAACAGCATGAATAGCAGATTGGAGGAGTGTAACAGTGTGGTTTTTGGGGGACACTATAACCACTTCAGTATTCTCAGGGCAAGAATCGGGGGAGATGGAAACCAGCAGGTGACGAGGGTGGAAATGGAAATGAAGCCACCAGCAAGGCTGAGTGTCTTGTCTTCCCTGCCAAATGTCTTTCCTGCCAAACTGGTTGGCTTTACCCCGTAGGTGATTTGCTTATTTGTTCATCTTTCCACCATAATGTAGGCTCCATGAGGACAGAGGTTTTGCGTTTTTTTCCTCCCTGTACCCTAGGATCAGGTGCATTGTAACTACTTGATGTATACTTAAAGGAATCAAGGTTATTGTTGGGTGGTTGGATTATAGGTGATTTTAAACAAATTTATACAAAAAAAATACTAATAAAGACAAGTGGAATTCAGTCCAAAAAGGATTAAACAAGACAAGGAAGGGGACTCTAAAATGAAAAAGGGTACAAATGATATATAATTTTTATGAATGTAACTGTTATGATTGTCATATGCATCAAATATATAGCAGCAACATTTGTAAAGCGAAAAATAAGGGAGATACAAAGAAAAATAATAGACAAAAACACATTAATAAGGGAAATTTTAGTTCATTTCTTTCAGTCCATGTATAAAAAATCTTCCTAAATAACAAAAATAGCCCATGCCTCCTCACTCCCCCATATGATAAGCAGGCCACATAATAAAGGACTTACAAAAAAGAAAACCCATAAAATAGAAAATGTAGGAGAGATCTAAAATCAGACATATCTGTATTGATGAGTGAAAATGGGCTTCACTCACCCATTAAAAGAAAAGGACTTTTAGATTGAACTTTAAAGAAAAATAAGAAATACCTGAAAGAAATTGATACAGAAAGGATGTGCACATGTTAACATTTTATATTCAGAGAAAATGAAGCCCTTAGCCTT